CGGAGCAGTGCTTCCCTATTTTGAGGGCGCTGGTGGTTTTTTGGTGATCTAACCCCGAGATTGACAGATTTTCCCAGTCGATTTTCAGGGATTATTGTCGGGGACCTTTGGGGATTGATAATTCATCAGCTATGGCAGCCAGGAAGACGAATTTTCTCTTCAGTAAGGAATTTTTAATTGATTCGTAGGGAATTCATTGGTCTGCACGCATGTCGTTGGATTTTTGACAAAGTGATTGTTACATAATTTGTCACTATTTTTCAGACGCTTCCGTGAAGCAATGGGCTTATGATTTGTCTCGTTTCAATCAGTATGGTATGTAATTGATTTAAAATTGAAGAGATTGATGACATGACGGTTAAATTATGTTATCACATGTCAATCAATGATTGAATTCCTGAAAGTTGTTGTCAATCATTTTTGAGATATTTTTTTTTCAGGTCTGAGACACGACGACTGTCTGTATGAGACTCCAGAAGTCCAGGAAGCTATTCGTCGTCTTCCTGCTCACGTTTATGATGAACGTACTTTCCGTCTAGTTCGGGCGATGCAGCTCAGCTGCAATAAAGTCGTTTTACCGAAGGAACAGTGGACGAAACGCGAGGAGGTAAATAAATATACAAAAAATAAATGCATTTGAGATTTAAAACCATTTATGGATGAATAATCTCGATTGATTCTTCCTACTGAAGTGAAGGATACTGAAGGATAAATATAAATTCAATTTATGCGATTTTTCTTTCCAGGACGTGCACTACCTTCGCCCCTACCTCGACGAAGTTCTCAAAGAGAAAAAGGAGAAGGAGGACTGGGACAGGGAATGAATAAATTCATATAATAACATTTAGAAAATTACTGAAATTAATATTTACATAATCTCTTGATATCTGGAAGAAACACTGTAAAGTTAACTTCAATACAAAAGTTGTTGTAAATACAGAATACATAGTTAAACAATGATTCCTCCCTTTTCATATTGAGGTTTATCATTTTCCAATGTCTCACCAAGTCACAATACTGAACTTCAACGTCTCAGAAATTTCTCAAAAGCTTACAAAAAATGTCTAAAAATATTCATATAACTCTGAAAATCGATAAGTATAAAGATAAGATAATAATAAAATTAAATAAACATTACATTTTCTCGAACAATTATCCATAATTCTGAAATATGATGAAATATGATATAAATATCATAAAATATCAGTCATATATCATTTCGAATTCTGCTCCTTCAAAATTTTCGTAGAAAACTCCAAAATTCCGTGAGCCTGACGAACGAGAACAAGTGTGAAGTAATTACAGATAATGATCGTACTGGTATTTAAAATAATTGGAATTAGGATGATCCTCCAATGAAGACAGACACCACAGGTGCACACGTGGAGCCCCACCCCGTACCCCGCAGACATAAAAGTCCCATGACAATAGTGTCAGTGGAGTAATGCTGAAAAAATGAAAAAAAAAGGTGAGTAAAACGAAGGGGAGAAGTAGGGGTAGTACTGGATCAATATTTTCACCCCCACCACACCCCTGTATCAGCGATTTGAGGCACCCCGTCGTGCATCTCCGTGGAATTATTCTACCGGGCGAAACCATCAGTATCATCCTTCCACTCGAGTTGAAAGCACCTCGAAATAAATTCGCGAAAAATTGAAAAAAATCCGGAGTTATTTCTGCGATTGCCTCGATTTTTCCATATTTTTCCAATAATTTGGAAATCTTTCCATCAATTTATTCGATCATTCATCGTACGTGAATGAGATTCCTCAGTGCGAAAAACTGTTACAAGACACAAGTGGAGAAATATGAAAGCAACAGTACCGGTAATACCCCAGGATTAATTTTTATTATTTATTCACGATTTTTACTATTAATTCTGCATGGCGCTGTCACTCTCGCTTGCATTACCTGTAAATCGTTAAAATTATTACCGTTAGGGTAATGTTCTCGTCCTTCAACCGGCATCACCCCCCGTTGCCACGCGGTACTGTTAACCCCCCGTTAATCCATCATCGAAAATTTCCATTGTTCAATTTAAGTTCTTCAATTGTACCCATTTTATTCTCTCGGTGATTCCTGATGTTTTATCACAATCTGTTGAATGAATCCCTAAAAATAGGAAATCAATTTAAAATCGATGACCGTCTGATCATTTCCGTAAATCATTCCTGCGGAAGGCTTTGATTAATTCCCTCTATTTCGGCTCATCCCAATTCTCTGACTCATGACCTTATATCATTGAATTTCCATTTCAATCTCGATAGGCACACTCGGTCGTACTGAAAATGCAAGGTATATTGTTACAATAGCAGAAAAAATCAATTCATTCGCTTTCCTGAAAGAATTGGATGAAAATGGAAAAATTCACATTTACGTGCGGAATGTATTCTAGAATTTTTTTTTACAAACTCGAATAATCAATATATTTTTCGTTTTTTGCAATGAAATATTTATAAAAAAGTGTAATTAATGCGCAATTTCCGGCATTTCTTCCCCTCGATTCACGAATTTATTTCGACTCTCATTCTCAATTACGCAATAGTCTAGTTTCAGTTGTTGCCTTGAAATCATTATGGCATAAAAAAATTTTCCGGTAAGAAATTCTCATTTCTGCTATTTGCAAAAAATAATTGAGAATTTTTTAATACCGCCAGATTAACTTTATGTTTATTTATAATTAAATCATTTATTCAATGTTCCTTGTTATCAGTTATAAAAAACCTAGGAGGAAGTTCTATGCCTCAATGACTCGAAAAATTCCGCCCGGATAATTTTTCCATCATCTCGACGATCGCTAATCCTGTCAGAGGATATTAGATGGTGTTTTTTCCAATCTTGAATATTTTTTCTCAGATTTTTCTCAGATTATTGTTCCAAAATTACGAAAATAATGTCGGAATCAAAAATCGAGATTCTATCCCAAGAACCAAAACCGATAAATTGCTCAACTGAAAAGCAATTAGATCCTCTCAAATTTCTCCAATCCCCACCTCAAATGAAAAACTTAAAACCCCTGAAATCGGTTTCTAGGGGAGCGTTCCCCTAAAACAGCAAAAATAGTATCAATATTTAAACTCACCTGATTTTCATCCCTGAAATAATGCAAGCGAGACTAATAAAAAACCAATCAAAAGTTGCCGGTACGAGTTTTCGCTCCGTTGAAAAAAAAAATCCAATTACCTGAATGAAACGATAACTCATTATCATTACAGATGCACCAGCGAGGAAGAAACCCATGCCTCTCAGCAACAAGAGCGATGTTGAAGCTGACGAGTTTCAGGGTTAAAATAAAGTCATCAATCCCAAACTCTTCCACAATTTCTCCAATATCTGTAAATCAATAACGCAATTAAAATCGCAGCGGTCGATCGTTCGACTGAATTCCTAAAAGGAAATCCAATTGAACCAGAGTGAGTCATGAAAGAGAAGTCTGGTGCTATGACAAAAAAAAACTACCTCCTTAGTTTGTACAAAAATTCAACGAAAATCGAATTGACATCATCCTCAAGACACAAGATTATAATGAATGAATAATCAAGAGGATAATCAAAGTGAGAATTGCCAATTTCCATGTACATATTAATGTACATATGATACATGTATAAATGTGTATATATCACTGAGTTGTATATACACTTGACTAATTATTGTAAATTGAAAGGCAGAAATTGAATTGAGTGAATTTAAAACAATTATTCGTTCGAGATAAGGCAGAGAGAGTGTGAGAAATTAATCATTGTAAAACAGTTAATATTGAGGAGAAATAATGTCTGAACCGTATGATGAGAGTTTGGTATGGCTGGTGGTGATTGGATTTATTGTTGCATTCATTCTTGCCTTTGGAATAGGCGCTAATGACGTCGCTAATAGTTTTGGTACTAGTGTTGGTGCTGGTGTCCTGACAGTCTTTCAGGCTTGTGTACTAGCCACATTTTTCGAGATTGCTGGAGCTGTTCTCATCGGATATAAAGTAAATATCAAATTTTTTTTAATATTACCACCGAAAAAATTCTATCAGCATTTTTTTATAAAGACTATTCTCGGTTTTTTTCCACATTCACTGGATTGTCTTTAATATCCGATAATCCTAAGAGCGCTTTCAGACAGATTAACAAGTGTCTGCAAAATAGCAATCGTTCAGCTTAGAAGTCTTACGACATTTTTTTGCATAGAGCGTATAATATTCAGAAGCAGCTTTATCAATGAATGAAATTTTAATTAACAGATTAAAGATAAGAGGGATCAAATGGAAAGATGATATTTTGTTTTAGGTGTCTGATACGATGAGGAAGGGAATTCTTGATGTGAGCCTTTACGAAGGATATGAGAAAGAATTAATGGTTGGTGCTCTCTGCAGTCTCGCAGGTTCTGGAATATGGTTGTTACTGGCAACTGCCCTCAGATTACCTATTTCCGGTACTCATTCAATCGTTGGAGCTACTGTTGGATTTTCCCTCGTTTGCAGGGGCACGAGAGGGGTATATTCATTTTCCATACCTGTTTATTCAGCCATTTAATTCAGTTGCTAATCTTATTACTCGAATGTTAATTAGGTGAGGTGGATGGCTCTGGCGAATATCGCTGCCTCCTGGTTCGCAAGCCCAGTGATGAGTGGCCTTGTGTCTGTTGGTCTCTTCTGGTTGATACAAAAATTCATTCTCAGAAGTAGAAAACCAGTTGATATGGGATTAAATGCTCTGCCAGCTATCTACGGTGCTACTATTGCTGTCAATATTCTATCAGTTCTTTTGGATGGTCCAAAATGTAATTCAAAATTTTTTTTTTTATCTCAATCAAAAAAATGCTCCATTTTCCCTTATTTCAACATTTTCTTTCACTCATTTTTCATCTAATTAAATTCCAAGAGTTCTCACTATTTCCGATTATTAATTAATATCATATTAATTAACATCGATAAATTGTAAAAATCATGGAAAATTAATTATTCATTGATTAATTTTGCAGTGTTGATGCTAGACCGAGTACCCTGGTGGGGTAGTCTGGTGGGAGCTGCATGTATTGGTCTCGTCTCTGGGATAATTGTTTATGTATTTGTGGTACCAGTGCAACGTCGAAGAATACTCTTGTCAGACGTAGGAGACAGTCCAATTACGTTTGGAGCCTGTGACAAGAAGGAAACAACAGCTCTATCCGTCATCACCGAGACTCGTATACCACAACCAGTTCCCAAGGTCGATAATACTGGCCAGCAGCCAACATTACGAGGAAATAGTAGTGCTAGTCCTTTGTTGATGGCAGCTGGTGGGACTGATGTTAATGAAGAACTAGATCTCGACAGTGCTGGTAAAAGGGCTGAGGAGAATCCAGACATTGCAAAATTATTTTCCTTCCTCCAAGTGCTCACTGCAGCTTTTGGAAGCTTTGCACATGGGGGAAATGATGTCAGCAATGCCATTGGACCTCTCATTGGCCTCTGGGCAGTTTATGCTGAGGGAAATGCCAAACAGGAGGCCGAGACGCCAATTCTCATTCTTTTGTATGGAGGATTTGGAATTTCTGCTGGACTCTGGGTCTGGGGGAGGCGAGTCATTCAGACACTGGGGAAAGATCTCGCTAGAATCACTCCAACCACTGGCTTTACTATTGAGGTGACATTTTTTTTTACTTCAATTTTACTGAACAAATGTGAGCCTTTGAAAATATTCTGATTTCATTTTTTTTTTGTGACGTTAAATCTCATTTATTTAATTCCTCGAATTGTTTTAAAATAAAAAATTGAATTCGTTAAGGTTGGAGCAGCAGTAACTGTCCTGCTGGCCAGTAAAGTTGGCCTGCCAGTTTCAACGACTCACTGCAAAGTAGGTTCAGTTGTCTGCGTCGGATGGGCATCCCGAGGTGGCGAGGGTGTCTCCTGGAAGCTCTTCCGCAACATCGCCTTCGCCTGGTTGATAACCGTACCAGTTGCTGGTCTCCTTTCTGCCGGATGTATGCTCGCCATGAAACAAATAGTAGATCTGTGATTGAATATTGAATAATGAGTAAATAACGAGAAAATCCCTGGATTTTCCATCAGCTTCGATAATAATTCTAAGGATTAAAAAAAAAAACAAACGCCAATTGAATCATCAAAAAAACGCTGGAAAGCGTCATGTCGTCAATAACAGTTTAAAATGATTAATAGCATTAATAAAATGCCCTGACGTAGGCAGATAATTAATTAAAGAAGAGTATTCTGATAATTTATCGTATTTACGTGGGGTTAATGAAAAATATTATTTTCAGTCGATTTTATTCTTATATTGTATGTTATGTTACTTAGCAACTGGGCAAAGTTAATCGATGAGTAAACAGTTCTCTTACTCTGGTGGCACGTGTAGTATTTTAAGTAATTAAAAAATTATATTTTTTAGCTGTTGGTTTATTTAGATTTGTTATGGAAACACTACCTTTGATACCTGGATATTCTTTTCAAAATCCCTGTGTAAGTTAATAAAATAAGTTGAAGTACCCGAGTGTTGCAATCAATTCATGAATACTAATATTTCATTGTATTT